ATGAGGGTTCTGACTGGGTAGGAAAGTAATTGTGGGGAACCAGCAGTTAGAGTAATGGCTATGTTGCTGGACTTCCATGTAGTCGACCGCGGTTCACATCCTGGACCTGGTGGCTTAAAACTCACGCCGGGTGCGTGTGCGTGCGTGCCCAAGATCCCGAGAGGAGAATGGATGAGAAGTGATTGTGGCGTGACCAACCCCCCTGGGGGGTGATTTCTCGCTGTCTGTCTCTATGTCTCTCTCTGTCTGTCTGGTGAACGCACGCGCCCTATAGCGAAAAAAACCTCTCCAAAAAAAGAAAAAGTAATTGTGTAAGTGATTCAGTAAATCCTAAGCATGTTGACTAGCTAAAAAGAAGGACAAAGAAAAAATTGAAGATATTTTCCAGGAGAACAGATAAAGGTCAAGGGAAAGAAGTTCATGAGCCTTGCATGTAAGCCCACAGAAAAAAATTCAGGAAAGACTTAGAAAAGAGCTTCTCAATCTTTAATTAGTATAAGAATTACCAAGGGATTTTGTTTAAATGCATATTTTGAATCACTGTGTCTGGGGTTGGACCTGTGATTCTGTATTTCTAAAAAGCTCTCAGTTGATGCCCACGCTGCCTTTCCCCTGACAACATTTTGGGAAATAAGGACACAGAGGACAGTAGAATGACTCAGGGAAAATGGGTTATCAGATGTAATCAGTGTAAGTGCAAATAAGAACATAGTTTGACCAAAGACAGAAATTGTGATGGTATGACATGGCAAGAAGGTCAAGGAGGAACAACAAAAATGCCTTCTATAAATAGCTGATACATTCATTAAGCATATACTGAATTCTTACTTAACCTGCATATACCTCTCCTTTACAAAGCAAAGTAAAAGGCATATTTTGTCTGCATTCTGGAAGTAATATGTATGAAAAAATTATATTAATGAATACTTGTATACATAAATACTACGAAATAAACAAAGGTTGAAACTTGCTACAGATGATAGATAGACAGCTCTTATATTTGGTGGATTGAGACTTCATGAATGATTTTCAACTTGGCATTAATTTTGAAATTGAATAAACACTCAGATTCATTGTCAACCAACCTCCTTATATTCATTTTTAAAAGAAGACATGATAGATGGGAAGTTCCTACCAATTTGTGACTAGTAGAGAGAAAAAGAAGGTTGCACCTTGAATTGAAGTTATCTTATCTCCTTAAGCCTTTTTCACAGTGGAAAGCTACACAAAGCATGAGTTTGAAATCATTTCGTCCAGAGAAAAACGGAGAAGCAAAGAAAAAAATATCATGAAGAAAGAAACATTGTTAGACGTTCAGAGATGACCTAGTATCTTTTTTGGCGTTTCCTGTGGTTTCCCTGAATCTAGGATGCTCCCTTCTTCTCCACTGCTCCACTGTCTTAGCCAATGGACAAGGCACTGCTAGTACCATTCTCATTCTTTCATAGATGTTGTGCACATACTGTGAGCTCATAACTATTCAAAGACTTTGGAGCACAGCAAGATTTGTAGAAACAAGTTTCATGTCTTAAGAAATTTTCTAGCTAGTTTTGAAGAAAATGATAAACATAAAACTATATTGTAAACTAGCTTCACCCAAGTAGACTTCTGCAGAATAATATCCTATAAAATTTTACCAGTGAATATGGACATTAAAAGGAGCTTAATGCAGACAATAATTTATATTAAAACCACTATTCTTCAATGTTAATAGAAGAGTGGCATGCACTTTTTTATAAAAAAAACAAAACAAAACAAAACAAAAAAAAACTTGCTAGAAGTTCTGTGCACTTGCCAGAGAGGGACAAACAAATAAAAATATTCAGTCATGTCCTAATGGTTAAGAGAGCCAGTTCCCACATGACCAACCAAGAGTAGAGTCCAGAGCTCCATAGCTTCAAAAACACACTTGGTGCATTTGGGTGTATGCCCCAGATTCTGATGGATGTAGACGTGGAAGAGAATAGACTGTGGCATGACTACATCCCATGAAGAGGTATTAGAGAGATGGAGAAAGGCAGAGGGAGAAAATACCTCTCTATGGGATGTGCTCATATACCCAAATGCATACACCCAAATGCATCACCTGTGTTTCTCAAGCTGCGGAGCTCTGGACTCTAATTTTGGTTGGTTATGTGAGAGCTGGTTCTCTTAACCATTAGGCCATACTGACTATTCTTGTTGTTTTTAAATTATAAACCATAAGTAATACATTTTCATGTTTTTACATCATAGAATTCATTATTATCTCAATGTTTTAGTTTTCCTCAGAGGGGAAAAAATAAAAGAAATATAAAAATTTAACTGCTTCTTTAGTCAGATTAGTGAAGCTGAACATAGGAAAGGCAGCAATCATTTCAGGAATCTAGAGAAGGAGTTAACAAGGAATTTGAGCTGCCCTGAATTTGGTGAGTAGGCTGAAGCATCGGCAAATTAAGATATTCTAGGTTCACATGGAAATCAAGAGGGTTAACAGAAAACATAAAAATGTGGAGGAGGAAACAGTTCAGAGTTCAGGTGTGTTTAAGGGACAATGAAAAAAATCAATATACCTGGAGAGAAGGTTTTGATTGAGTGAAAATCAATTTGGGAGGACTGATTATAAAGACCCTTGTATTTTGAGTCAAGTTCTATGAAGACTGAAGTATACATTAATTGTATTCAGAGAACAAGCCGGGAATATGACTTTAGCATTCTGAACAAATAATTTCTTTAATTTTAAAATTTTATTTCATTGTTCTCCCTTTTAAAATTACACAGCAAGCACACAGTGAGTAATTCATAACATTAAAAGAGTAGAAATAGAAAAGTTGAAATCATCCACAACCCCATTAACCAGATATAATGAGTTGACATTGGGAGTACATCCTTTGTCACTATTTCCTAAGTATGTACATGTTCAGACACCCATTCTTAAAAGTTCATCTCCCACTACAGCTGACATATTACAGTGACAGTGGCTGCCAATTAAACTTCTAAGAGGTGAGTAAGTTACTATAAATGTATGTAGCAAAGCAGAGTGAGTGTAAAAAATGCAGTCATTCACACAGGCACCATTACAAATTAAATATATGAAATGTTCTTTGCTTCCACAAAGAAATAGTCTTTTGCTTTGGATTACACTTCTTTGAATTACACTTCTCTTTTTCTTTCTTTCTTTCTTTCTTTCTTTCTTTCTTTCTTTCTTTCTTTCTTTCTTTCTTTCTTTCTTTCTTTTTTTGAAACATACAACCATCTAGGTCCTCTTTTAATTTTACCACTGTTTACAGAAATGCAAGTATGAAAACAGCATTATTTCTGATATTGAGAAAACAGCAGAGAAATGCCATGGGCTCTAGGCATCCGTGTGTGGAAAGAGAGAGGTAGAGGTGGCGCTGAACTGCAGAACTTGTAACCTTGACAAGTCAGACACCACACTGCAGCAGTAGCTGCTGCTCAGTGCAAACAGGGCTGAGACTGAAGAGCTTTCTCTGCTTATCAAATGAAGGCCAGAATCTAGGTCTTATATGATAATCTCTGGTTCTTATAAAAAGAGGAATGGATAATTGTTAAAAGTTTATTTATGTCTGGTGAGCAGGTGGAGGTTAAGGTGATTGGATCCCAGCTGGCCAACTCCACAGTTCGAGTCCTGGATGCAATGGTGAGATAGGAGATAGAACCCTAAGAAATATGTAAGCAGGACATAAAACCCAAAGATAGAGGCACAAGCATGCACTAGGAACTTCTTGATCACAAGAAACAACTGCAGCAGTGACTCAAGGACTATGCTAGGATGGGTTTTTCTTAATCTCACTATATTCTGGAACCCAGGTAATGGTTTTTAGGGCCCAAAGCTCTCAGATAAAAACTGAGAAACCATCGACCCCTTGATAATGGTCTCTGGGCTGAAGCCCTCAGACAAAGACTTATACAATCATTTACCAGAAGTTCTCTAATTGTACAGCTTCTGAAATGTATAACATGACATACCTCACATGTGACTTCCCCATGGGGACAAAACGTGACCAAGTTTCTCCTGGCTGGGATTAAAACTCCTTAAGAGAGCCCCAAATGAGCAACCCACTTTCCAGGATCCTCCCCTCCTCCTGGCCTGAAAACTTTGCCCTCTTTCAATAAACTTCCCTTTGTCAACCCCTTTGTTCTTCTACATTCTAATTCTTTGTGACCCAGGAGAAAAAGAATCAAGTTTGTTGGCTGTTCCTCCAAAACAGGCTCATGCATTCCAATATACTGCAACAATAGCTTGAAAATCATGCCAGGTACATGTGCACGTATACCTAGAACCCCACAAGGAGAAGGAATTGCAGCATGGCCATCCTTAGGAGGTGATTTCTCACTTTCCCTCTCTCTCTCTCTCTCTCTCTCTCTCTGTTTCTCTCTTCTTTTCAGTGAGTGTTTGTGCCTTATAGCAAACACAAAAACAAAAACAAAAGTTTATTTATTTTCTCCATGAGAAACAGAAAGAGAAGAGAAAGAAAGGTAGAGAGACAGGCGCCCTCATATGGATCCACCCCCAGCCTCTGCCTGCTCTGACCCAGGCACATGTGTATATGCATGGGGAGGGCTCTGAAAGCAAACTAGGGTCACTCCTATGTGAGTCCTGTACCTGCAGGGTGTTTGCTTTACTGCTACACAACTGGCTAGACATAGAATGAATTATTTTCACATCAAAATTTCGCATGTAAAACAAATCACACTCAAGACTACAGTTTTTTGACTATTGCTTACATGTACTCCAAAATAAAACAGCAATAAACTGCTTTCTGCTTTAGGGTGAAGGGAGGATATTAACCATACATCCTCCCTGGTAGAAAATCTTAAAGCCCCAGTGTAATGGGAATTTTTACTTACTAGACTTTCCTATCCTTTCAAATGACCTGGTACAATATTTACATTGTATTAGCATATTATGAATCTTTCATTGTAAAAAGACTCATTTGGAAAATCTATAGAATTTCAAAAAGATGCTTACTGAATATATTTTTTGTTGATTAGAATAGGTATTTACCCACTGGAAGAAGATCTATTCCCAAGTGCCAGTTGGGTTATTTTTGAGAACTCCCTACTGAATATTGATGCAGCTTCGTGCCTTTGCAGAAATGGGAACAAAGCCATCTGTGACGAACCTTGGAATCACTGTGAGTAATTAGCACAATGCCTGTAATCAGGGAAAGGTTAAGCTTGGAAAAGAGGAATAAAAATGTTTGTGACACATGGAAAGGGAAAAAAAGAGAGATCATTGGGATAAGAACAAAAAGAAGTTGAACTTTAAGAGTGAGAACAACTGATATATGTAATAATCTTTACTTCAAATGTAAACTTTTCTCTTACCTGAAAATTTGTATCCAGATCATCCTATATTTTTATCTATTTGTATCATTACTATTGCTTTCAAATAAATGTTTCAACCACTCTAGTTTGACAAAGAGTATTCATATTGTCAAGATTGCCCAAGCCTAGAAAATACAAAATATCTTGAAATGTACGAAGTGCTATATAGTTTTTGTCACTAGACATGATGGGGTAGACTAGAAGAAAATCACATAAAATACAAATATTCAACAAATGGAGCTCTTTCAACATGACTATATATTTGGTCATTGTGAAAAAATTATTTATTTACTTTTTCCAAGAGTGAAAAAGATAGAGAGGATACTCTCAATGGGGGCTTGATCCCATAATTCAGCCCCAATCATGGACATACTTTGGTCAAGTATATCAGGGAGGTCTTCCAATGCAACCCAGCACTTTCCCATGTGGGTCAGCCTAGAAGTGTCATGTTTTATCTCTGCTACTATCTAGTCCCTGCTATGAGATAATTGTAATAAGATGTAATAGCAAGAACATTTATCTATGATTCCAAGACGTTTTTATCCTGATATTTTAATGATCTCACTTTTTCTAAAATTTGAATTGTAGACCTTTGTATTCCCTCTCTTAGCAACATACAACTTTATGAATTGGTCAACTCATCACCACTAATGCCTGAGTTAATGTCTTTGATTCCTTTCATGCCAGTATTAGCAGTAAAATTTGTGACAGAATAAACATTGAGACAGCCTCTTCTTATTACCACATTATCTATCTGGGCTTATTTGTAAAATAGAGTATTACAATGGTTTATCTCTTAAGATGCCCTAGGCTCTCTCCCCTTAGGAAGTGGATTCTCTAGGCAAGCAGATGATTCTGGAAAGTCAAGGAACAGAATCAGAGTAACTCCATAGTTATTTTTCTTATCCATTTACTTATTACTTACTATCAATTTATTCAATAATTATTTATTAAACATTAACTAGATGTCAGGTACTGAGTTAAACACTAGTGGTACAGCAGTTAACAGACAAGCTTAGTATAATAAAATTTACATAAAATAAAGGAACAAAGACATAGCATTACTTAAGTAATTAGTTACAATTCTAGGTATTATACATTTGTAGAAAAAAAAGGGGAATTTGATCCAGTCTTGAGTAGTCACATAATATTGTCACATAACAAATGTCTCTGAGAGAGTGCTCTTTAAGTTTAGTTCTGAAAGATCAAAAGTGAGGAGAAGATGAGTGGGTTTCCAGCCCAAAAAAAGTGAAAGAGAAAATGTAAAGGCTTAGACCGAAAGGAGTCCAGTGTGTCTAAGAAATTTAAACCAGTGGTGCTAGGGATCAGATACTGAGGAAGGAAGTGAGCAACAAAGATGTGGCTGTGCACAAGTGAAAGGAGCAAGCTCATCCGGAGCGATATAAAAAATTTTGGAACTTATTCCCGAAACAGTGGGATGCTATTGAATAGATTTAAGCTTGAAAACAGCATAGTCATATGTGCATTTTATATATCACTAGGCTTGTTGGGTACAACAATAATGGCTAATATTTACTGAGGGTTTTATGCATCCAGCCTCTTTAGAGGTGTATATAAGCATAGTAATATTCATAACAACTTAATGAAGTGAATATCATTATCTCCAATTCACAAAAAAATACTTCAGAAATTTGCCCTATATCACTTAGCCAATTGGTGAGTAGTCTGAGTTTAAAGCTGACACCATTAACTTATGCATTTGTTGGATGGTAAAGAGGGATAGAAATTAGTTTGAAGGAATAGATGATCTAAGTAAGAGGTGATGCTGATTCAGACTATAGTGACAGTACTAGACTGGAGAGACATGAAGTGATTCAAGAAACATTGAGAGATAAGCTAGAAATTGGTGATTGATTGGATTTAGGAGGTGAAGGAGAGAAAGGATCAAGGTAATGTAATTGAGACTTGAGTAAATGAGTGCAGGGTGGTGCCATTTATCAAGGTTGGAAACTTTCACAGGGAAGGGATAAACTAGGGTGAAAAGACTTCCATTAAAGCAAAAGTTATCATATATAAATATCATCCTTGAAAAGCTCCCCCATGGGACCAGCAGTTAGCGTAATGGCTGTCGCTGGACTCCCATGTAGTCGACCACGGTTCACATCCCGAACCCGGTGGCTTAAAACTCACGCCGGGCACGTGTGTGCGCGTGCCCAAGATTCTGAGAGCAGAATGGAGAAGGGATTGCGGTGTGGCCATCCCCCCTGGGGGGTGATTTCTCGCTTTCTGTCTCTCTGTCTCTGTCTGTCTGGCGAACTTATGTGCCGTATAAAAAATTGTCCGTATAGCAAAAAAAAAAAAAAAAAAAGGAAAAGAAAAGCTCCCCCCAGAGGATTTCCACCTTTTGAAACTTAGTTTTACTCAATATTTTAGCACTTCCTCTTTCCTTCTTTTTTTTTTAAGAGAGTTTTTTTTTTTTTTTTTTTTTTCTATAGGGTGTGTGTACTCACTGGAGAAAGAGAAAGAGAGACAGAAAGCGAGAAATTACTACCTACGGAGATGGCCATGCTGCAGTCCATTCTGCTCCATTATTTCTTTGGGATTTGGGGCACACATGTACATGTGCCTGGTGTGAGTTTGAAGGTGCTGGGTCCAGGACTTGAACTGAGTTCAGCCACGTGGGGTAAACCAACCGGGTGTGTGTACTCACTGGAGAAAGAGAAAGAGAGACAGAAAGCGAGAAATTACTACCTACGGAGATGGCCATGCTGCAGTCCATTCTGCTCCATTATTTCTTTGGGATTTGGGGCACACATGTACATGTGCCTGGTGTGAGTTTGAAGGTGCTGGGTCCAGGACTTGAACTGCGTTCAGCCACGTGGGGTAAACCAACGTAACCATTCCTTCATTTGCTGGTCCAAGTATTTTCTCTTTCCTAAGCATTGTTTTGGCCTCCCCACAGTATAGTTAATCTGCAGATGCTTGAGGTAATCAATAAATGTAGAGGAGGACCAAAAAGGGAGAAAGAGCATTCAAGCTTCTTTTTCTCTCCCTTAAGCTCTCTGGTGTGGTTATTTCTTTATATTTATGCATCCATGATTGTTTTCGACAAGATCAGGCAGTTCTCATCATCTTCCTTTTCATTATATGTTGAGTTTGCAAAGCCTTTTCTGGAATTGATGGTTAAGTCAGTGCTTCAAACGTGTGACACAATATGTGAAATATAGACACATTTTGAAATATAAACACTAGCAGTTATTTTCCAACAAGTCATGCTAAAATACTCAGCTCATTGGCCTACAAGCACACCACAGGAAAAGCTGACTGGCAACATAACTGTCGGGGCTTTCTTTCTCCACAGTAGCAGGCAGAACTCTGGCGAATTTCCAACCTCCACAATTCTATTTCCTCTTTTTAAATAACAAAAGCACTTATTATTTGATTTGCTATACCTTATAAATGAAATAAACTAAATCATTTACTCTCTCTCATGGTCAAACATCAATCAATCACCAAATACCAATCAAATACCTAACCAGGCAAAGGTGATAGCAATGGGAAGAGTGAGAGGTACAAGGAAGTGTATGAATTTTGCTCACAGAATGTTGTCTCACTGGTGGGACAGAATATGAGCATGTTAAAAAAGATAATGATTACAAAGAGGGATAAATAAAAAGATACATCAAATTGAAAAAGATTAATTGTACCATGTATGTGTCCTATTAGTTCCAGGATAAGAGAGATATTTTTTGTATGTTGGAAATCTGGTAAAGACAGAGGTGAAGGTTTTTGCCTAATTTTATGTTATATCTAGATTTTAGTAGAAGCAGAGATAATGAGATAGGAATGAATGGTATGGCATTCCCATTCTGAGCAGCTCAATAGGGAAGCATGATATTGTAAGTAATTCACCAATAAGATTAAAAGTTAGGAAATCTGTGCTTAGCTTCAATTTTAACAACCATTGTATTTGTGCAAAGAAGTAGGTCTTCCCTAGGTCTCAGTTTTCTCACTCTTAAAAATAAAATTAAATTAGATGTTCTCTATGGAGTTTTTGAAATTTAAGGTTAATTTTTATTATAGGAAAGTCTTCCTATAATAAAAGTCCCTAAAATAAACACCAAGTCAGGAAATTTAATAAATGGTAGTGTTTTGGGAAATGTGCACATTATACTTTAAATGTGACAAACCAAAATTAAAATTGTGGCTGGGACCAGCAGTTAGCGTAATGGTTATGTAGCTGGACTCCCATGTAGTCGACCGTGGTTTGAGTCTCGAACACAGTGGTTTAAACTATAATAAAAGTCCCTAAAATAAACACCAAGTCAGGAAATTTAATAAATGGTAGTGTTTTGGGAAATGTGCACATTATACTTTAAATGTGACAAACCAAAATTAAAATTGTGGCTGGGACCAGCAGTTAGCGTAATGGTTATGTAGCTGGACTCCCATGTAGTCGACCGTGGTTTGAGTCTCTAACACAGTGGTTTAAAGTCATGCTGGACACATGTGCATGAGTGCCCAAGATGATGGGAGGAGAATAGAGGAGAAGAGAGTGCGACCTGGCCGCCCCCCACCCCGGGGGGTGTGATTTCTCTCTTTCTGTCTCTCTGTCTCTCTCTGTCTTTCCGGTGAACACATGTGCCCTATAGCAAAACCCTCTCCAAAAAAAAAAAAAAAAAAAGAACTTAATTAAAATTGTGGCAGTCTTATTAGTTATCTAAGAAATTTGGAAAAGATACCTGGATCCTTGATTTCCCCATAAATAAATATATATTAATATATAGATTATATATGCAAAAATAGACATAAATATGAGTAAATAATTAGCTTTTTCAATAGACTTGTGAAAATGATATGTAATGGCGCTGTGTATAGAAACTGATTCTGTGGGAACCAATGAAGAGCCCTGGATTGCAGTGAGATCTGCTGCTGTGCAACAGTCTTTCAATGTCTGTAAACAAGAAAGAAAGATTTGAACTTAATCATTACTTATGTCTGCTTTGGTATGTCTCAAATATATTTTAGGAAAACATAAGGTCAGAGTATATTAGGGGCCATAGATGTGTACAATGGGTACAGTGGGTAAAGATGCCAAATGGCTCTCTAGCTATATGCTATATAGTTACCCCAATTTCACTTTATGTTTGTCTTCAACTAAACTAATATTCCTCCCACACCACTTTCCTCTGATGTTTTTGATAACTTTCTTTCAAATATGCTTTGAGATCCTTTGATACTGGTTAGGTTGTACATCATTTCACTCCACTGTGCTAATGAACATCACAATGAATAATTATTAGCAACTTCAAGATTATCTCCAGCATATTGTTTTTATATTATTAATTTTATAGACTATGAGAAGAATGCCATAAAGCACACCACTAGTTTTCATGCCAAGAATATTTCATCCAACTTAGAAATGCCATGCACTACATTTCAGGAATAAATGCCACTTAAAAAACATGATATTGTAATGCATATTGAAGTTTCATGTACTAAAGATTGGAGTAGCTATTGGTAGCCAATGAATAATGGATTGAAATGATTAATGACTTTGTGAGATAAGGGATAATTAGATTTGGCATGTGCATCCACCATTTAAGCAAATTGGTATGTGGAATGCATGGTTGAAAGAGATACAGACAAATGACATTAAGCTTCGGTGATTCAAATGGGTCTCCTGAGAATGGATGATCCAAATTCTTTTCTAATTTTTTCTCAACAACTCAACACAACCATAAAGGTAACCATGGATCTTATTTTTATGCTAGCAATGGTTGCCACAGCAACAGAGTGACAGACACTGAAGCCCAGAGAAACATTTTCACACCTTTCTGCCTTCTGGTCATTTACTCTTTTTCCAGAGCTCACTCATTTACTAAAATAATGCCCTATAGTTTTATTACCTATGGACTCAGTGATGTTGGAGAATAACAAGAGAGAGCTCTTGGTAAAATTGGGACCAAAGAAGAGTTCTACAATATTGCCTGCAAACCTCCACCCAGTTCCCCTATGCACACATACAACTCTACACATTGGCAGTTGCACCTGTACCTTCCTAGGTACTAAGCCAATATACTGCCCTGTGGTTGCATGCCTCTTCTAAAGTGACAATGCTACTACCCTTCAGGGGCAATGGGTTTGTTCTTCCCAAACATTTATGTCTCTCTTTCTTTGTTTGCAGTTGCCTAGTTAAATAAAAGAATTGATCTATGCTACACTGCTAAGTTTAAAAGTAGACTAGTATGTCACAATCAGAAAAAATAGCACATCAAAAGTAATTTGTTACTAATTCTAATAGTAGTTATTGATGTTAGCTAAAAGGCAGAAATTGTTTAGATGAAATTTTATTATTTGAGTGAAATGTTCTTCAATGTTATATCTATTAAAAATACTCTCACTGATATTTTTTTCCTAGTAATGATATGCTATCATTTTTTGTTTCTGTTTTCAGAATTACTCATTGAATTAATGTATTATTATTATTATTCACTTTGACCAGAGAGAGAAAGAGACAGAAAACAAGTCACCAGGTCTCGGACTCAAACCACTGCAGATCATGTGTGAGTCCAGAGCCTTACCACCACGCTATCTGCTGGCCTGTATTTATTTGTTTATTTCAAGAGGAAGAGAGACAGTTACAGAGAAATGGATACAGCAGCAAGGTCCTTTTGCTATAATCTACCTTCAGCTGCTTCAGCAGTTCAAATCATGGGCACATGTATGCACACATAGGCAGTGTGCTTAGGGATGTCCTGGGATAGGAAGTCAGGACCTTTCTCATATGAATCCAGTTCCATTACCACTGTGTCAACACCTGGTTTCAGTATGAAATTGTTTCCATTGACTTTTTTTTCTCTTTTTGTGAGTGAAATAAATTACAATTGAAATCCAGTATCTTGCGTACACTTGGTGGAAAGGTGGAGATTCGGAGTTTGGTGACACATGGAGGGGATCTCACAGTGGTTCAGGGAAGTGGCAGGGTCAGTGCATGAGTGGAAAAAGAATTTAGCTGAGGGAGAAACATGAGCATGAGCAAAAGTTAAGCTTATTAGAGCTCAGGCAAAAGTGCTGCAAGCAATACCTGAGGCAGGTCCTGGCAGGGAGGGTGTTTGCTTGTTTGTTTGTTTTGTTTTGCCATAGGGTGCCAGAGAAAGAGAGAGGGAGAGGGAAACTGAGAAATCATGGGGTGGGAGTGGGGGGGTGGGAATGTATAGCCACTCTGCAATTTCTTCTCCTCCATTATCCTTGCAGGATTTTGGACATGCACACATACACTCAGGGTCTGGCCTTAATCGCCACATCGCCCACTGGTGCAGAGGGTCTCCTTTTTATGGTGTTCATAGAAGGAGAGTAAGGATAAACTTTGCAAGTTTGGGTCTAGATTGGGGCTGGGGTTCTCTCAGGAATGCACACCAACCTCAGGAATTCCTACAGGTGGCACCAGAGAAGGGTCCTGAATGTCTGTTTCCCTTGTAAACATTTATCTTGGATCAGAAGGGGACTTTGTCTTGGGTCATTTTATTAACTTGAGCAAGTTTACTTATTTTTTTAAGTAAGGCTCATCAGGGCACTCTTTTTATTAAACTTGTTTTGCCAATTATGATATCTCCACAGTCTGTATAGTGACAGTCACCTTTTCAGGAAAAAAAAAATGGTGGATGCTAATTGATAAAAAAGTTTTATTCTTAACAAATATTTATAATCCTAAGTGAACGTATATAGTCATGGTAGACTACATGAACAGAAACTACTAGGAATTAGGGTGAGATTTTCCTTAGATCAAATGCCTGCTCATCATACTTTCTCTCTTCTGTGTTTTTCCACAGGGCAATACACAAAAAGAATAAATCTAAATAAGAATGAAAGCACAATGTTAAGGGCTGCACAAATACCTAATACTTTAATACGCTGTTCTAATAGTCTGATTTGAGCACTTATCTAGACTCTTATATGTTGTACATTAATCTTTATCTTAGGTGCTTTATTACCCTCAGACTGAGCATGAGAAGAAAGTAGGGAGGAGACGGCCATTTTTGGAAATCTAGCCCTCAGCAAGCTCTTATACTTTCACGTAAGTACCAAGGATATAGAGAACCTGGATGAGTATGAGTTACTGCACCCTCAACCAATATATTAGTGAGCATATAAATCAGTGGTCACTGAGGATACATGAAGAAAATGTAGACTAAAAAAGAAAAAGAAAAAGCCTCTAGATGTGGATGCTTGGGCCATTTTCCTTTGACCATTCCGCATGATAGGATTACATTTCCTTCACTACAATTTCATTTTAGTATTTGGCTTATGGGTTTGTATAAATTTAAATATTTGCATAATTAAAAACTATAAATGTCATTTTTTTTTTTCTATAGAGAGACAGAGGGACAGAAAGCGAGAAATCACCCCCTAGGGGGGATGGCCACACCGCAATCCCTTCTCCTCTGTTTTCCTCTCAGGATCTTGGGCATGTACACACATGCACCCAGAATGAGTTTAAGCCACTGGGTCTGGGACTTGAACCACGGTCAACTACATGGGAGCCTAGTGACATAGCCATTATGCTAACTGCTGGTCCCAAATGTCATTTTTTTAAAAGAGGTTTTTGCCTTAGGGTGCATGTGCTCACAAGAGAGAGAGAGACAGTGAGAGGGAAAGTGAGAAATCACCCCCAGGGGGTATGACCATGCTGCAATTCCTTCTCCTCCATTCTTCTCCTGGCATCTTGGGCATACATGCACATGCACCCAGTGTGATTTTCAAGCCATCAGGTCCAGGACTTGAACCGTGGTCAACCATGTGGGAATCTAGTGACATAACGACTATGCTGTCTGCTGGCCCCATAAATGTAATTTTTATTGTGTTTATCCTTTTGTAATCAACCTACAGTTTAACTGGAATACAATTTTAGTTACATATAAAATGTGAAATTTATAAACTTTACTATTTTTAAATAATAATATAAATAAACTTTAAGAGAAAAAGGAGAAGAGATATATGTTTGGATCATCACTATGTGATTAATGTTTGGAAAAATGGAATCAAATGATACTGTCTGAAACTGGTAAATCAAGAAGAAAATTTTAAAAAAAATTATAAAGAAAGCTACTTGCAGAAACAAAACTCAGAAACTATAAAAAGAAATTGACTAGCCAGAGTCTAAATGGGTATCAGTATGTAAGGAATTTTCTACTCTTTATTTAAGACTCATATGTACATTTAAAAAAATTTTTTTTTCCTTTTTTGGTGAGGTTTTCGCTATAGGGCGTGTGCGCTTGCCAGACACAGAGAGAGAGAGACAGAAAGTGAGAAATCACCCCCCAGGGAGGATGGTCACACCGCAATCCCTTCTCCTCCATTCTCCTCTCGGGATCTTGAGCACGCATGCACACGCGCCTGGTGTGAGTTTAAGCCACCGGGTCCGGTACTCGAACTGTGGTCGACTACGTGGGAGTCCAGTGACATAGCCATTACGCTAACTGCTGGTCCCCATATGTACATATTTTTAAAATGTAGATAATTTTTAATTTAAATTATAATTTTTATAAAAAATTAAAGATCATCCTTGTCAACAAAAGACTGGGTGAGTACATTATAGTGAAATAAATTTTAATGACCACTTAAATCCCTCAATTTAGATAATGTGCACAACTTCTGAAGTGCTCTCATGTGTTGAAGTAAAAGTCATTTATTGATTACTTCTGGGCAAGCCATTGCTTTCCCTAGTAACTCATTTATTTTCATTGCTGAGACAGGTAAGAGAAAATATCTTTTTGTTCTTTTGACAGTTAAGAAAAGTAAAACACAGAGGGAGTATGTTGCTCTGCCTAAGGTTATAAAAACAATCCTGGTGGTACTAAAGTTTTGCTCTTCTTTTCAACCCCAGAATCTTTTGGTTAGCCGCTCTTCTCAATCACTATGAAATAGGTGATGATTTAAAAAAAAAAAAAAGAAAAAAGAAAAAAGTGAGTACAGAGGAGTCAAGTAAAAAATGGGAATAAGTAAATGAAAGGGGTGGCCTGAAAATGGGTAGGTAATTAGTATTTTCTACCTGACTTTTATTTGCCAGGCAGTGTGATATGTGCTTATACAGATTTCACTCCATTAATCCTTGTAACAACACACTTGAAACAATTATTATTGTTTCCGGTTATCATATAGGAAAGTTGAGACTAAAACTAACTGAATTACATCTGAGAGTCTACGAAGCTAGAAAATGGTAGAGAATTAGTAGTTCTCCAACATTCATTATTCTACAACAGTCTGTTAACCTTAGCCTGATTCCAAGTTTGGGCTAGATAACTGTTCTTTATGGGGGATTGTCCTGTGCATTGTGGGATATTTTGCATCATACATGGCCTTTACCCACTAAATGGAGTAGCATCTGCATCTTCATCTGTGACAAAAATGCTTCCAGATATTCCCAGAAACTGATTGCATTGATCACTCCCTTTCAGAATCACTATCCTACAGGGATTGATTATCTTCTTGAGCTGTGTTATGAAATATCTTCTCAATGAAATTTAAATCTCTTGAACTTAAATTCTCTCTAGCTTTCTCTTTGTGTCTCTCTATCAATTTCTTATTGACATGTTGGATTATAACTGAGCACGACAATTCCTGAAAGTCCAGGGATTAAAGGAATTCCCTGCACACTTTGTGTGCAGGAAAAGCATTACTACAAGGAACCATCTCTGGCCATACAACTTAAGACTATGACTATGCCCTTTATTTACCAGGGAGAAGACTAGACACGGACCTCCAAATTCTTGTTCTTCAATCTCACAAGATGAATTACTATTTTAATATCAAAGACTCATAGGTGAACATGAATTCAAGCTTTCTCCACATAAGTATAGATACCCAAAGGGATGAAAATGTGCCATAGTGACAGAGGAACAGGGTCATAGATCCCAGACACAACCCCTTTCATTGCCATTCCTCAATCATATACCCACATTCCCTCCCACTGATAGTCACACTGACATTGTAATTGAGATGTTTAGACCAACATTGGTTACCGTCTCTCAAGGACAAGCAAAGACCTGCAGGCAAGTAAATGAGCAAAACTAATGGGTATAACATAATAAGACATGGTAGGACTAGTGGGAAAAAGAAAAGTACCAAAAGACATGAAAATTCAATTTGAGTAAGTTTTTTGTACTTATAACATACTTGTAATTCTTACATGTGATCTCTACATTGGCTTTAAACTGGCTATATGTTCATATAGTATTTAATAATTAGAATTACATGCTTAAATTTGAGACTCGATGTAAGAAAATAATACAACTTCTCTTCCTATGTTGGAAAGACCCACCCCTGACTTCAGCAATGAAACAATTTACTTAGCATTGGTAGATATTAACTCTTTTTGAGTGGAGCATAGGCTTTCAGGGTCACCACAGTCTATTAGATTATACGTGGCTGTTCAATCCATTTATATTACCTTCCTGTTCACAGCTGAATTTGCAAACTTTGGTCTAGAAGCGCTATTATTCTTTGATCCTACTCAAGATTCACAAATCCACAATATCCTCTCCTTGCACATTTCTTCTATTTAAAGATAGGTACATATCAGGAATGAATAGATTTTTTTCCCCCTAGAGATAGGTATCCAAAGAGAGATCAAATATCACTCTGAGAAATAGGCTGGTGAGAGGAAAAAACAAGACCCAAGAAAAATAAGGGTAAATTACTGGCATCCTGGGTGACAGATTAGCAATAGCAACTATGAAAAGATTATTCTTATGTGAAATAATCTCAAAAATTATGCTGATCAAGATATGTGTAGTGCACATTCAACAATTTGAAATAAAATAAATGTTTTTCAATATCCTTTCCCCTCTAAGCAAAGACATGAATATATTAAAATATTCTATTTTTTTTTTTGAGATGAGAAAGATTTTTATTATAGGGCACGTAGTTACAAGAGAGATAAAGAGAGACAAGAGAGACAGAAAGCATGAAATCACCCCCTAGGGAGTCTAGTCTTACCACAATCCTTTCTCATCCATTCTTCTCTCAAGATTTTGGACATGCATGCATATTTGCCTGGTGTGAGTTTCAAGCCACCAGTTTTAGGACTCAAATGCAGTCGACTACATGGGAGTCCAGTGACAAGCTATTACATCATCTGCTGGTCCTGATAAATTTGGTTTTTAAAAGAATAATTTATTTATTTTTATGTATTATTATTTATTATTTTTAAATTTTGCTACAGGGCACATGAGCTCATTAGGGACAGACACAGAGAATGAGAAAGAGAGAAAAAAAAACTGCCAGGTCCAGGACTTGAACCACTGCTGGCCATATGGGAGTCCAGCACCTTAATCACCACACTACCTGCTGGCCCCTAATACATTCTTAGTTTGTAGAAGTTTTTGCCTGAGCATGTATGTGCTCCCTGGGGAGAGATAGAGACAGTGAGAGAGAAAGTGAGAAGTCAGCCCCTAGGCAGATGGACATATTGCAATTACTTCTCCTCCATTCTCCTCCTTGGATCTTAGGCATGCATATACACATCCCTGGCATGAGTTTCAAGACACTGCGTCCAGGACTCAAACCATGGCCAGCTATGTGGGAATCCAGTGACATAACTTCTACACCACCTGCTGACCTCTAATATATTCTTTGTTTTTTAGAGATGCTTGTTACAGGCCGTGTGTGCTCACCAGAGAGACAGAGAAAGACAGAAAGTGAGAAATCACCCCCTGGGTGTATGGCCACACTGTAATCTCTTCTCCTCTATTTTCCTCTCAAGATTTTGAGCGTGAACACACACATGCGTCTGTCATGAGTTTCAAGTTACCAGGTCTGAGACTTGAAATCAGTTGACCATGTGGGAGTTCATCAACATTACCATATGACTTCGCTGGTCCCACATTTTTTTTTTTTAAAGAGAATATCTTGGTCCAGCAGATGGTATAATGGTAAGGGTGCTGGATTCCCACATAGGTGACTGCTGTTTGGGTCCCAGACCTAGTGGCTAGAAAATCATGCTGGGTGCATGTGTGGGGGGACCCAAAATCACAGGAGGAGAATAGATTGTAGTGTGCCATCATGGCCACCCCACCCCCCAGGGGGGTGACTTCTCACTTTCCCTCTCACTGTCTTTGTCTCTCTTCCTAGTGAGCACATGTGCCCCAAGGCAAAAACATCTAAAGAAAAAACCAAAACCAAAACCAAAAACAAAAAACAGGCTGACTAGATGAGGCCAGCAAATGGTGTAGTGGTTAAGGTGCTGGACTCCCACTTGGTCAACCATGATTTGAGTCCTGGACCTGGAAGCTTGTGCATGCCCAAGATCCTGGGAGAATGGAGGAGAAGGGATTATATTGCTGTCACCCACTCTCAGGGTGATTTCTCACTTTCCCTCTCTCTCTCTCTCTATCTCGCTTTCCCTCTCTCTTTCTCTTTCTGTATTTCATTTTCCTTCTGTCTGTATCTCTCTGACTAGCACACATGCCCTTTGGCAAAAATCTTAAAAAAAAAAAAAGAGTGACTAAAAATATTCCATATAGCTTTGAAATTATAGTAAATGAGAAAGAAATGACACACACTACAAGTACTGTAAAATTGTTTTAAGCATCATATTCTCTAGAAATTAGCATTTTAAAGTACATTTTGAGTTTATGATAAAATGGTAATATATAAGAACATCTTGTTTTAAATTGAAAACCATTTTGCTATATCTGTCATTTATCTACCTGTCTATCTAGTAATAATTATTGTTGAAAAGTGTCAAAATTTTGGGGCCTCCTTTGAAAATAGTCTTCAAGTTTCTGAATATCTGTTATATAGTCAACCTTATGACTAACCCCTAAAAAGTAAAATTAAATAAATAAAGTTGTAACTAATTCCAAAATCTTTTTATTATTCCTCTTTTTTTCCCATAAACTTCCTCTTTTCCTCTGTTCTTACTAAACAATTCATTTTTAACTCTTGATTTTTAATATTTTAAGGGAATTCAGCTTTGTAAACATCTTATTAGACCAAACAATAGACTTAAAACAGCTAATCTCCATTCTCTTCGTGTTATAATACATAAGTAAATAATATAAAAATGATCAAAACAAAGGCTTTTAGTACTTGTTATTTTAAAAATACTGGTTTTAAAATAATGGTAAGAGATAATCCATCTACCAATGTGGTTCTATTTAAGATGTTTTTCATTCATTTTTAATTTATGCATAGAGTATTCTCTTGGGACTGAAGTCCTTGCATTGGATTCCAAGAAAACCATCTTGCAGGCAATCAGTCTCTGTAAGACACTTGCATAGAATGGAAAAATATTCCCTTACTACTTCACTACAAGACACTGTCTGTGGAAATGATTAGTAATTCTAAGCATTCACACAATCACTGTTCAAAGTGACATTATCTGAGACATGGCATTGACAAGAAGAATCTCAAAGCAGCAAGAAAGATAAAGTAATTTGCAAAAGTACAGTAGGCCATCACATTGATGCCTAAACAACTTTAGGTGATGGAAATTATATGTGTGTTCATGCCTTCACTACTAGGAAACAACATTAAGGACCTGTGTTGTGTCTGGAGTTAATCTGACCTGTATTTTAAAGAATTTTAGTTACACTAAAAAAAAATATTAAAATTAAGAGCTTTCTGTTGCTACCTTTTTCAAGTACTTTCCCTTATTTATTTGCACTCTTTTGTCTGCATATTTTTCAATATAGTTATTGAAAATTTAGATAATTAAAGAGAAACAACAAAGAGAAGCGTGAATGATTCATTGATGTTTATATTTAACTTCAGTACATATTTTGTTAGAAATATAATTATTTTTTTGCCTAGGATTGATACTAACTTAATGGACTTTCGAATCTAGTCAAATATCTACAACTGTTCTAACTTATTTAAATTTTTAAAAAAATGTATTATTATTTATACATTCAATCGCTATACAGCATTTATGTGCAGAGTCATGTGGAGTTTTAGAATCACAACATAGCCATCTAAAAGAAAAACTTTTAAAACCTCACAATCAGTAGAGAGGTAGACTTAGCCCTGAGTAGGTGCTAAGGACAAATGGTAAAATAAAAATCAGATGTAACTTGTCTTTGACAAACTAGGTTCTTTCCTTGTAACCATGGGAAAATTAAATCAATTCAGACAAACATTTTACACAACAGATTTTTCTCTGCATAACAAAAGGGAAAATTGAGTAAATTATTTACTTAATTGATCAGACTTTTTAATTTTTTTTTTTTTTTTTTTTTGCTTTAGGGCATGCCTGCATATGTTTACCCACTATGATTTTCAAGCTGTCAAGTGTCCAGGACTCAAACCATGGTCAGCCATGTAGGAGATCAGTGCCTTAACTACCATGCCACCTGCTGGCCCCAGGTCAGATGTTTTTGATATTATATTGGAGCATAATAGTCTCCCAGTGAGCTACTGGCAAAGACAAAAAAGGGAGAGAGACAGAAAGAGAGAAACATAATCTTTTAATTCAATACTGATGAGAACTCACTCAGTGCGTGAAAAACTAGGGAGATCATATATATTGTCACTAAGGAGGCTGGTAGACTAGTAATGTCATTATGCATATACATAAACACACACACACACACACACACACACACACACACAGATAATTATGCACCTATCAATATTGGGCAATACCATTTGAGTTGTTTGACCAGAATATGCGTGTATATAAGCAAGGTCCGATACTATCTTTATGTAAGATATTTGAAAGACGTGTTCAAATCTAGAAATACAATCTTGACTCTGAAACATTACAGTAAACTAATCTACTCTTTTCTTGAGAGAAAAATTTTTGCTGTAGGGCTCATGCACTCACTGGAGAGATAGAGAAACAGAAAGTGAAAATCACTCTCCAGGGAGGATGGACATGCTACAATCTCTTCTCCTCTCCCATTCTCTCCTTGGGATTTTGGGCACACATGCCTGGTATGAGTTTTGATTCACCACGTCCAGGACTCAAACTGTGGGTGACCATGTGGGAGTCTAGTGCCTTAACCACCCACCACCCATCTGCT